CTACTAATACACAAAAAACGCACGAATTGAAATACAAGTAAATGAGCTACAAATATCAAAATGTGCCACCGTATAATAGATATTCGTATGTAATGACTTACTTGCAATGCATGATGATTACGTAGAAAAGAAAGTACGGAATAAGCCGAGAGGTCCATGATTTCCTTGGGGCACGACCATATAGAAGCACAAGTCGGAATCTAGAGAGAAAAAAAAAAATAAAAGAAAAAAAGAATAACAAACGATATGAGGTTATAATGCATTTTTAACCGAAGACGACACGCATTAACTATTAAGAAGTACAAAACTCACGAGAAAAGCCTTCTCAAATAATTCCGAATAACCGCGCGACCGAACAAAGTGCCCCAATGTCTCGTTACGGTCGATGTCTTCGTTATTGTTTAGCTCTTCTACATATCTAAAAGAACAAAATAAAAGTTTGAGAAAACACAAAAGTAACTTCATAAACTATATATATAAAAGGAAAAATTTCAATTTTGGTCCGTTTACTTGTCTAAAGTCCTTTTTTGGTACATTAACTTTCTCCTTGCCAAAAATAGTAAGTTATGTTGCAATTTGTATCATTTTTAGGACATTACTCATTAAAAACAGTATATTATGTTGCAATTTGTATTATTTTTAGGTCATTAGTCCCAAAAAATAATGAACCATTTTCGAGATAATATATGTCCCAATAGTGATACAAGTTGCAGCATAACGTACTATTATTGATGATGGAAAAGTTAGTATATCAAAAAATGACTTTAGACAAATAAACAGACCAAAATTGAACTTTTTTCTATAAAAAAAAATGTGATGTTACGTACTTAATTCCATCCTCATTGAACTTATTGATTTCTCTAATCATTTTCCAAAAACTTGGATTGAAAATGTTCTTCTTTTGCGCGAATAAGCTAGAAAAACTGCGGGTCCCCCATTCGCAGCCTTGGCCATCGGCCAAGCTCACTGAGAAAGACATGTCAGACGGCTCCATGTCGACTCCAAGGCTCTCGTACAATTCCATCATGTTAGGGTACGTAACCTGTCAAATTATTGGAACAATCATATATATATATACCATTTTTAATTACCATATATAGATAACAAAAGCCAAAATTAATTGTCTTCATATTCACTTTGTTTTATGTGTTGTGCCATAGGATTATGTATCCATCAAATGAGTGAAGAATACAAAATGCATCATCAATAACGATTAAGTGTGGAAAAAGAACAAATGTTGTAGACTCAGTCATGCAATTTTTATGTGTTATTTTATTTTATATTATTATAATACAAAGTCAACATAGGACTTTTATTTATTTATTATGGCAAAAGTAGATTCGTATATTGCTCTTGTGGGCGTCATTAGTGATGGCTACGTATTTTCCAAAATGGATAAAGGTAAATTGGAACACGGAAATATTTGGCAAGTTTCAACCCATAATTTCGTTTTATTGGTTGAAAAATGGAAAAACTTCCAAACTGGAAACTATGAAAAGTAAAGCTAGAAATTTTTCTCTTCACTATTACTTTTTCCTCGTCCGTTGATTGATCTTTGTTGACTAATTTCAAGCGGGAAGTGGACCGTGTGGTCCACCAAACAAAACAAGTAATTAAATTATATTATTTTATTCTTTTTTTTTCTTTTGACTAACTGCATGTGGACTAGTTATTTATCTGCCACATAATTCACACAGCAAAAAAAATAATCATATAATATAAGCAGCTAATAAGTCTTCATCATCAGATTTTTTCCATACNTAGATTGTATTAGACTAGCACAGGTATAATTAATTAGTATTATACTCAAACTAGACAAGAAGGGGAAAAGAAAGCTATCAAGATGAGAGATAATCCAGATGTTACAAACTTCTTAGGTACATAAAATTTGTGGCGCACACATATATTTTGAACCTATTAGGTATAACAATACTTCTATCTGATAGATTATAATTAGACTAGTAGAGTTATAATTAATTAGTATTTTACGCATACAAAAAAAGACAAAAAAAAAAAAGAAGAGGATTAGAAAGCTATCCATTAATTGTAATTAATTATGAGAGATAATCCAGATTTTACGAAATTTTGAGCTACATAAAAAATTTGATAGGCACACATACGCTGAACCCTTTCACACCAAACCGGCCTTCTAAAATCAAAATATTTATAGCTATAGTAAACTTTATGTAAGTAACTACATACAATAAAAATTTAATTTTTTTTTAAAAAATACTTACTCTGTTAAACACTTGGAAGCCTATGTCGAGTTGGGTACCGTTAACGGTAACAGTGTTTGCGTGGCCACCCAAGCAAGCCTCCTTCTCGTACAACACCACTTCAATACCTTCTTTTGCCATTACGTATGCTGACATCATCCCGCTAATCCCCCCACCAATCACCGCCGCGCGCTTCACCCCACACATCATTTTTCCTCTATTAATTCACTAATTAATTAACCTGCCTGCATAATAATATTATCCATAATAAAATATTGTTCAGATCAAAACTCAAAAGAAAAAAGAAAAAAAGAAGGAAAAATTATCTTGGCAATTATATCTCATTGTGCTTGTATGAAATTTAATAGTTATAGCCTTATATAGGTCATAAACTATGGACGTTGTCTGTTATATTCTTGTACACATTATTTGTAACGTACATGTATGTTATCTAAAAACACTTTATCTAAAAGACAAAACACAACTATATACAGATTATTAATTAATCCGTGATATTATGTGAATGGATTTGCGCATGAAGACGAGCTTTTTACTTGTACGAAAATGAGATGCGTATTCGATTAGAATTAAAACAACGCTAAAAAATATGGAGAGAAAAGTTACCAAATGCAGCTGAGAGACAAAAAAAAAAAAAATGGCACCTCGAGATTTAGAATGAATTAATCAAGAAATGGTTGAAGAAAAATAAAAGAATGTAAAAGAATGAGAGATGCTACAATTAAAATTTTTATGATGTGTGCCAATTGAGGCTGCGATGGAGGCTATATATAGTTAGCGACTGGCAAGAGAGGGTATGTACGTATGTGAGTGACTATTTATTTATTCCGTATACTGTAGAGTCTAATTCAATCTAATAGTAAAATGATTTTAAAATGTGATAGGCCGTGTGAATGGGTTCCCGCCAAATACAAAATGGTCTTTAATCTTGGTCAAACTGCCTCAATCATTGACTTAATTTCTAAATTCCAAGTACATGCGGTTGCATTCATTTGAAATTCACAGGTTGCCCTACTTTGAATAATTTCTCTTTAGTGATTTGCATACTATTGCATCAAGTTTCAAAAATTTACTATGACCAAACTACCAGAAAATATTATTTCGCTAGTAAATAATATTTCGTAATTAATGTTAAGCCATGACAAAAAACTCCCAAGCCAAAAAATAAAATATGTGACGCGAGTTCCTTTTTTTAATAAACCACTTCTTATCACAACTCTCCATCTGTATGTATAAGTTTTTTGCTATTGATTTAAATTATTATTGTGTTATATGCAAACTATATATATGGTTTGGTTTCAATGAGTTCACATTTTTAAAGTGAGTGTGAGGCTCAATCCTAGCCATTATATATGTATCAAGATGTGTGGTCAAGATTTAATTCTCTATTTGAATAATAATTCTTTATTTTTATAATTTTAATTAGTTAAATATTATTCTGACCATTGACCGTTGACTCCAATGTTGACCATTAACTTCCAACGTCGACCCGTTGATCTTAGTATGCATTATGTATGAAGTAAAAATGCATTCAGCACTATGCATGGGGTACGAATTGCATATGCACCAAATATCAACCAAGTATACACTGATTATGAACTAAATATGCACATGTAATTATCTAATTTAAATATAATAAATATACACTATGGATGAACTAAATATGCATTTTGTATTAACAAAATATGCATCTTAAATGAACTATATATATGCATAATTATATATTAAATTTAAATATAACAAATGCGCTATGGATGAACTGAATATGCATTTCGTATTAACTAAATATGCATCATTAATGATCTAAATATACTAAAAGCTTGGCTTTGATTAAACAAGTTCTATGTCCTATTGCTTTGCACTTAGATAAAATGGTTCATTAGCGGGTGAACAGTAGATCATTTTATCAGTTACTTATGAAACGAGAATGATTGGTTCACAACCTAGATGGAATGAACAAACCATCAGAACGGTTGTAGTGTCAACCAGGAGCGAATTTACATGTAGTGATAGGGGGGCAATTGCCCCCCCTCAAATTTTAAAGATTTTTACTATTAATAGTGAACATTTTAATTTGGCCCCCCTTTAAATTTATTTTTGCACCCCCGGATTATTTGTTTTTAAGCGTCACTCACCAGCCAACTTGTCCACAATTGTCAATTAACAATTCAACACTTCTTTTATTTTACTATTAATTTTGTATATTAATTATTATCATTCTACAATTTTAATTGATCCATATAAAAGACTTCAACTCTCTTTTATTGCCCAGGCTAGGGCTGATATTTTTTGACCGAAAATCAAAAATTGAACTGAACCGAACCGATGAGAAAATAAACCGAACCGAACCGACTTATGTGTAAAATAACCGAAAATCTGTTGCCGAAATGTTATCGGTTCGGTATTGGTCTGAACCCATTAGGGTTCGGTTCTGAACCCATAATGTAATGTGTTTTGCCCCCTATCAACTAATTTCTGGTTTCGCCCCTGGTGTCAACCATACAATTGATCTTGGCTGATTAGTTGCACTAGTACATTTATGTATTGAACAGGATCCCAGAGAGGAGCAGTTTGTTTTATCCTGATCGTCGTAAACGAACTAGGCCTCGGCTAATCCGATTGATCCGTTGCCATATAGTTGCACACAAATAATTCTTGTTGATTCGCGCCGATAGGATCGAGGAAACTTCTCTAAAAACACGCATCACCACAAACGATCCTCGATGTCATTTTTTTCAAAACATAAATGGATAAAATGATTATAGCATGTTTCCTCTTCCTCTGGTGTCCATATTGTCCTAAATCAAGATATCGACGTATTGAAATTTTTGCATTGCTTGCCATTGAACGAAATTAAAATAATGAACCTGGGATTGTTATATTAGATAAACACGTGTTAAGTACCAAAGAATCACGAAAATAGCAACATGTACATCTATTTTATTTAGAAGAAATATAATTTGTTCCTCAAAGAGATTATCATAGAGACAGACTGGGGGCCAACTAGTCGGATAGCCAAATTTCGCCCTTCTCTCCTTTTTGAATTTGTTATCTAGGGATATATGTGTAACGGTATAAAAGTAAAAGTGAAAAGTAAATGCTCGTGTCTGAAGGTGAAACGTAATAACTATGCAACAAATATATGCGTTATATTAGTTGTCGAGTAATAATAGCAGAGTACGAATTTACCCAAAATAAAATTTCAAAAATATTATCTCTTTAGTCTTTACGCAGTTTAATTGAAGAATTTAAATTTATAGTTTTAAAAATTATTACTCTGGATCTATTCTGACACGAAAATATTCGCATAATGAATCACATTTTTAAGGGAATCATGTCTTCCAACTGCTAATTATTTTTATTTCTTTCGGAATAATAGAATTCCAACAGTCGTATTTTTTTTTTTTGAAATGATAGAATTCTGTGATCAAATATTATTATTATTATTTTTTTTTGTATTTAATAACAACTATGTGACAAATATGCGCCAGAACAAATTTTGTGGAATAAACGCATATTAATTACGAACTTACCAAAATGAAATTTTAACCAAATTAATATGCAATTAATTTTTTCGTATTGTGTTTCTCCTACTAATTTCATATTTTAGTAACAATAAATAAAAATAATTGAACTGGGGATCATAGTTTTGACGTATCTCTTACATAGTTTAATAATAGAATTTGAATTTATAAGTTTAAAAATATTATTAATATGCGATCTATTCTGACGCAAAAACAACCGCATAATGGATCACACTTTTAGAGGTAAACACGTCTTCGAACAGTCGTTTATGCGATCCAATATTTGTATCTTTTGGGAGTCTTTCGTAACACTTCAATTTTTTTTTTTTTTTTTTTTTTTTTTTTATATATAAAAGTATATATATAATTTATACTTATATTCTCTATACTAAATAATCTTTTAATATACTGAACATATATTCCCTATACACACAACATATACTGAACAATTTACAAAAAAAGTGAATGTACTTTGTGTACCTTTGCATATCGATAGCAAGTTAATATTCTTAATTTCATGGTTCTCGCCTTCAACCATCGTATGCTCGATCAGTTCATACAAGTCGTCGTCCCTATCGCTGTTCATCAGATTCCTCCAGTTGTTGATCGCGGTCGGACCCATGATCCTCCACCTGATTGCTTTCGGGATTTTCATTGTTAAAAACTTTAAGTATTCAAGATGTTGAAAACCTCTTTCACGTGATTCTGGTACAACATTCCCGAGAGGACAACACGGGTCGAGATAAACCATCAAGGTCAGCTGAGACTACATGCTGCCCCCGCGATTGACCAAAAATGTCAGATTTGCAAATATAATAATTGATCTATGCAGTGATGCTCCCTAGGATGCTTCGACAAACTATAATTCTAGGAGCCATCAACAGAAAAGGCAAAATTACTGATCTGACTTCTGCCGATATTTGCAAAAATATCCTCAGGACGTGAGTACGCCCGCTCGCCAGTGAAGCCTAATGACCTCGTTCACCCGCACGCAAGTCCTGTGCTATGCTTGTTTGCGATTGATAGAATTGTTTCATACAATTCTCTGCATATTCATCGCCTATCTTATCACATAATTTTACACACTTCCTCAATTAACTTCGCCAGTAGCTTGCATATTTTATCATATAATGGGGATCACACTTGCTAAATTATAATCTCCTTTCTGTTGCATAGTTTATAGTATAATTATTTCAAACTTGCTTAATTAAATACGCCTTGATGTAGCATAGTAGTTTATCGCATAATGAGATCACACTTGCTTGATTATCTTTGTCTATCTGTCGAGTAGTTTATTGCATAATTATATTGTATTTTATCAATTAATTTCTCATGTATGTCGGATAGTTATAGCATAATGACATCACAATAGTTCGATTATCTTCTTCTGCCTGTCGCATAGTGTATCACATCATTATTTCGCACTTTATCAATTAACTTCTTCTATCTGTCGCATAGTTTATCGCATAATGAAATTGCACTAGCTTGATCGATCTCACTGGCTCGATTATTTTCGTATGTCTGTCGTATAGTTTATCATATAAGTAATCCGCACTTGCTCAATTAACTTTGTCCGTCTGTTGCATACTTTATCGCATAATTTGTTTCGCACTTGTTCAATGAACTTCATCTAGTTGCTGCATAGTTGATCACATAAGTAGTTCGCAC